AATCACTAGAGCCCCGCCCTAACACCTGAACCCCTGACCCTGGGGCTATGAATTTCACAATTTTGGAAGAGGCACTCTTGCTCATCATAACTATGTACTTAGTTACTTTATTTAATACCCAGGAGCAGAGAAGAAGATTTTCAAAGAATTAATGCATTTTCACTATATAATCAATAGAGCCCCGCGCTAACACCTGAACAGCTGACCCTGGGGCCATGAATTTCACAATTTTGGTAGAAGCACTCTTGTTCATAATAACTATGTACTTAGTTACTTTATTTAATACCCAGGAGCAGAGAAGAACATTTTCAAAGAATTAATGCATTTTCACTATATAATCACTAGAGCCCCACCCTTACACCAGAACCCCTGACCCTGGGGCCATGAATTTCACAATTTTGGTAGAGGGCTCAATGCTTATTACAATAATGCCAACAGTTTGACTGCTTGATGTCCAGGAGTAAAGAAGATTTTTAAAGATTGCATTAATTTTGATGGTTTTAGCCCCACCCCTCAGGCCCCAGGAGGGCAGGGACCATGAAATTCAAAATTTTTGTTCCCCATCACCCATAGAAGCTATATACCAAATTTGGTTGAAATTGGTTGAGCGGTTCTGGAGAAGAAGTTAAAAATGTTCAAAAGTTAACGCACGACGGAGGACGACGGGCGAAAACAGATAGCAATAGGTCACCTGAGTGACTCAAGTGACCTAAAAATGTAATTTTTGGTCAACTTCAAAGTGACCTTGAGAACACGCCCTTTGCCCCAGGGTAAATCCCCATGCAAATTTTAATCTACAACATAACCTCATCCTTTTGTGTAAGTTTGGTGATAATCTGCCCAGTGGTTCTTGAGGAGAATATGTTTTAGCAACCAGTACTTTTGTTTCTATTTTCCTAATTATCTCCCCTTGTTTAAGGGTCACAACCCTAGTTTTAGTATAATAGGGAGCCCTTTGGCCAAGGATACCCTGTGACAAATTTGACAATAATTGGCCAAGGGGTTCTTGAGTTAGGGCCATATTCTAACAAGAGGCCCAGGGGCCACATCGCTCACCTGAGCACTGTGGCTAGGAAAAAAGGAAAAATCAGTTTAGTATTGAAAAGTTTAAATGCATAAGTGGTCCTTACCTACCCCTAAAAGTGAGAGGGGGGGCATGATTTGAACAAACTTGAATCTACACTAAGGATGCTTACATAATTTTTTGACTAACTGTGACTTTTTTCTCTACAAGTTTGAACTTTCATTGTGGCCCCACCCGACCCCTGGAGGTCATGATTTGAACAAACTTGAATCTACACTATCTGAGGATGCTTCCGTATAAATATGACAAACCGTGGCTTTGCTGTTCTTGAGAAGATTTTTAAAGATTTTTCCTATATATTCCTATGTAAAACTTTGATCGTTCAATGTGGCCCCACCCTACCCTGGGGGTCATGATTTGAACAAACTTGAATCTACACCACCTGAGGATGCTTCCACATAAATATAACCAATCATAGCTTTGCTGTTCTTGAGAAGAAGATTTTTGAAGATATTTCCTATGTACACCTACGTAAAACTTTGATCGTTCATTGTGGCCCCACACTCTCCCTGTGGGTCATGATTTGAACAAACTTGAATCTACACCACCAGAGGATGCTTCCACATAAATATGACCAATCATAATTTGCTGTTCTTGAGAAGAAGATTTTTGAAGATTTTTCCTATGTACACCTATGTTACACTTTGATCGTCCATTTTGGCCCCACCCTACCCGGGGGTCATGATTTGAACAAACTTGAATCTACACCACCTGAGGATGCTTCCATATAAATATGACCAATCATAGCTTTGCTGTTCTGGAGAAGAAGATTTTTGAAGATTTTTCCTAAATATTCCTATGTAAAACTTTGATCGTCCATTGTGGCCCCACCCTACCACCCGGGGTCATGATTTGAACAAACTTGAACCCACACCACCTGAGGATGCTTCCACATAAATATGACCAATCATGACTTTGCTGTTCTTGAGAAGAAGATTTTTGAAGATTTTTCCTATATAGTCCTATGTTAAACTATCATTGTCCATTGTGGCCCCACCCTACCCCTGGGGGTCATGATCTGAACAAAGTTGAACCCACACCACCTGAGGATGCTTCCACATAAATATAACCAATCATTGCTTTGCTGTTCTTGAGAAGAAGATTTTTGAAGATTTTTCCTATATACACCTATGTAAAACTTCGATCGTATATTGTGGCCCCACCCTACCCCCGGGGGTCATGATCTGAACAAAGTTGAACCCACACCACCTGAGGATGCTTCCACATAAATATTACCAATCACTGCTTTGCTGTTCTTGAGAAGAAGATTTTTGAAGATTTTTCCTATATACACCTATGTAAAACTTCGATCGTCCATTGTGGCCCCACCCTACCCCCGGGGGTCATGATTTGAACAAATTTGAATCTACACTACCTGACAATAATTCCACATGAGTTTCATCTTTCCTGGCCCATTGGTTCTTGAGAAGAAGATTTTTCAATAATGCCATTAATTTTTTGCTATTTCGTAATTATCTCCCCTTGGAGGAGGATGTGGCCCTTCATTTGAACAAACTTGAATTCCCTTCACCCAAGGATACTTTGTGCCAAGTTTGATTGAAATTGGCCCAGTAGTTCTGGAGAAGATGAAAATGTGAAAAGTTCACGACAACAACGACGCCGACAGACAACGGACAAAAATTTTGATCAGAAAAGCTCACTTGAGCCTTCGGCTCAGGTGAGCTAAAAAGTTTATGCACACCGCACAAATGGCCATAGCATTAGCTCTTTCAGCCTTTGGCTCACAAGAGCTAAAAAAGATTTTAAAATTGGGAAAACATGGCTGATTTTTGGATTGGAAATGGGTTCGCTAACCGGACCCAAAATCAAGCCAGGAAAACCCCTGATGAAAGATAGAACTAATTTTAGTTCTAAATAAAACAATGTCATCATTAGCTGTTTCTGACAACTGAATGAACATTCTGAATTTTTGCTTCCAGGATATATCAAGAAAGATCACTCTTCAAAAGGCTAAATTACATGTAAGCAGCCAATCAAAGCAAGAGTGATGAGCATGAAACATATATTTATAATCATATATTTGTATATTTCACGTCAAACTTAAAGTTTTTTTTTTGTCTACTTCATTGCAGTTGATATTTGAATTTAATTATTGCAGTGGTCATTTAAGGCCACACTTACAAATATATCTTTTAAAATCAATGCTTTAAACAAGGAACGCAATGCTACCTCTTTTAAGGTCTGTATCTTCCTCTTTTTTATCTTAGTAGGTTAACATGTATGGTACTCCAAATATTATTGATAAAAATTAAGTGTCCATGTTTGCTTTTGAAAACCTAAAATAAGTGTCTGATCAAAATGTAAAATAAGAGGTGCACATGCAATATGGCACTAAATAATAAAGATTCTATGAAAGTGTCATTTAATTTTATTCAATCAGTGGTAAAGGAGGAGTTGTGGCTAAGGTCACATCATAAAATTTAGATTTTCATCCTAATTTGCTAAAAAAATTATTTTTTATTATTGAAAATATCTACATAACACTCTTCTTACACAAAATTTTCACATTGTTCATGCCAATATGAACAGATTTTATTGTTTATTCTTTTAAATATCTATCGAAGATTCTTGTTACAAAAAATTAAATATTTATAGTTTTTATTAATGAATTTTCAGATACACAGATGTGGCACACGCCACAAATAAATTGCATATGCTGTATGTGGTAGTCATGACTTCTCATCAGTCTTTCTCCATATACCATAACTCCTTTTGTTTTTTGTGAAATACCACAAATTTCCACTGTCCTCATACTTTCGTTCTTGAGATTTGACATGTTCGACATCAAGATATGTCATTTTTGCAAAACATGATGTATAAAACTGTAAAATATTTTACTGAAAAGCCTAAGCTGAACAGGTTTAAGATTTACCATTTTCTTAGAACTAGTATACTCTGAAGTCTGCCGAAATTCTTTTTTTTTTTTTTAAATACAAAATCACATACAACTGCATGGCAATTGTTATAATTTGAACAGATTTCATTTAAAATCTCTTTAAAAACTTGCTCATGCCAGTGATGGTATCTAGATCATTTATGTTATTTTTGCTTTTCTGCCTTCTCTATACTGGGAAATTATCTTTTCCCTACATATTTTATTGCCAATTTTTTTCTCCATTCTTCACATGGCTTTTGTGCTATAAATAACCCCACTTGACTTTTAATACAGACAGGAGGTAACTTTTAAATTTTGACCATGATTCTTGCTGAGTAAAAATACGTAAATATATACTTTTGATACCCTAAAACCAAAATAAAAAATATGGCAGGGCACTTTGAGAGGGGCAAGTGGGGATGAGAATCTAAAGTTAAATTTTTTAATTTTACCTGGCCTAGGAGATGGGTGCCCCAAGTGTTACAGATGACTGACACTTTAGAAAAGCAGGGGGTCAAATAATTGTGAATTGCTCCTTGCTTTAGTTTATAGTTGATTTTCAGCAACAGTGCAGCCTCTGATTTAAAAAAAAATCTATTAGAAATTTTCCTCTTTATATTGATAAGATTTTATGGACTGCAGTTACTTTTCCGATCAGAGGTTGTGCTTTGTATGAAAAACATGGCCAAAGTAGAAAAAAGCTCTGCAGATTTTCTGCAAAAAAACCTGTCAGATATTGGTTTCATCTCTTATTCAATTTTAGCAAGCTGACCTTTTGGTGGGGAAATTTTGGCATGTTGGGATGTTATCAACAGTGGACTAACCCATTCTAATAATATAATTTCTATTCATTCTACTTTAATAATCAAGATTTCACATGGATAACATGGATTTTGTTCTTTATCCATTCTTTACTCCCTAGTTAATTATAGTTTACAACTGATAAAACAATTTATCACTGAAAAACTATGTATAATTTGGCCTGCTGCAGAAAAGTGATATTTTGGGATGTTTGCTTACCTTTCTAGTTACTCTGAAAAAGTATCCTAATTGAGCACTGCTCTCCAGCTTAAGTACTTTGTTTGCTTCTATTCCTAAATCTCTGGCAACCTTGGAAGAAACACAAGGCATATTTGAATATGTGACATACATTGCCATAAAATAGAACTTGGAAAATTTTAAAATATGACATACTAAATAAAAGACATTTTTTTTACACCCCACTATTTTTTTTCTAATTTTCATAAAATTTTAATGTGTAAATATTCACAGAAAGCTTTGTTTTTTTTTTTTTTTTAATAAAAAAATGGATGTACTAGGATATCCTAGAAATTCCTGGTTTCTTGGAGATATTTTTAAGTCTTGGGATATCCTGGGAAATCTTTTGATTCCTGGTATTTCCCATTTCCCTAGAACCCTTTTATTGGGACTGTCCAGGGAAATCCCAGGAATTCCTGTTCCAATAACATCCCAGGATATCTAAGGAATAATCCTGTGATTTTTTTCAAGATATCCTAGGAATAAATCTTGTGATTATCTCAGGATTTCTAAGGACATCTCAGGATGATTCTGCAAGGGCATATCTCTGTGTGTCTTAATTGTTGAAAACTACTAAATTTGTGAATATTAACTCCACTTCTGACTTATCATCATTATTTATTCTTCTCACAACATACATGTACAGTGGCGCCTCATTTATCCGGATGGCTTCGTCCCCAATGAAAACGTCCAGATAAATGAATCATCCAGATAAGTAAATCACTTTTCAAAAAAACCTTCTCCAAGCATGTGTGTATGCACATACTGGTATCAAATGTGAAGGCAAAGGAAAAAAATAAAAACTTTGATATTTTGGTTTAATGTTTTTATTTCTTAGCTTTAAAAGAAGTAATTAAGTATAGAAAAATATTAAAATTTAATTAACACAATAAAAAACATAGGTAATCAGAGATTACAGAGCTCACCTCAACGAATGTTGTCTTTAAGTAAGGCAAAGTCCCACACTAAACTAATAATCTAGTAGTGTGCATCCCTAGATGCAACATTTATGCAATTTTGGTCTGATATGGCTTGCTGCCTGGGAATGGACTTACCTAAAAACTTAAAACTAGTCACTCATCCAGAAAATGCAAGTCAAATCCAGCATCTGAAGCAAGTTTGAGAGTGTTCGTCCCTTGATGCATCATCCATGCGAGTTCGGTTCAGATAGGCCTCATGGTTACTTGGTAATGAGATCTGCTCCAAAAACTTCAACCTGGTCACTCATCCGGAAAATGCAGGTCAGATCCAGCATCCGAAGCAAGTTCAGTAGTGTGCATCCTTAGACGTATCATCCATGCAAGTTTGGTCAATATAGGGTCTATAGTTACTTGGAAATGAGACCTGCTCCAAAAACTTGAACCTGCACCGAAAACCTTAACCTGCTCCAAAAACATTAACCTGGTCATTCTTTAGCTGAAATTGCAGCATCTGAAATCTTGACTGGTACAATGAAACACACTAGAAGCATCCTCTATGCATCTCTGATTGAGATAGGGCATAGAAGTACTTGAAAAGAAAATTGCTCCAAAAACTTTAACCTCGGACGCCCATGCCATTACATAAGCTCCCCCAACTTCGTTGAGGTGAGCTAAAAATGAATAGGCAATTTTATGCCGAGACCTCCTTTTTTAACGCGGGAAATTTTATTCCTCTTCTCTTTGGCATGAGTTCATGGGCTGAGCAAATTTTGATCTACTGTTGTTTTATTTTGCCATATTTTATAACTATTGAAGCTCATATGATATGACAGAATTGTTCAGCATCATCATTGAAAATGTTCAAATATAAACTAACCCTGTATATTCCCGTATCTTCTTTACACAGGGCTACTTTAGTAACTGAATATTGCAAGCTAACTCAAACATGCCCAGTCAGTGAAAGTATTGTAAACATTCAACGTTAGCACAAGCAATCTTAATGATTATCAATATTTTTTTCTAAGGACTCTTAAGTTTGAATTTCGATCACAAACAATACCTTGAAAAACGTAATCAACTTCTTTACATGACACCATTTTTAAAAAAATTTCTTTTCTAAAGTTATGTACGTATATAGATGGTAGTACATTAAATAGAAAGTCTTCAACTTTGTACCTTTTCTAACTGTCTAATGGAGAAAAAAGCATTTCAAATACATTTATGTTTTTAGAAATGGAAAATCATATTTTAAACTAACTCAATCAACCTGATCAAGACCATTACGAAATTGCTCATAATTTATTGTTCATTTTATTTACAACTCTCCAAAATTCTCATGAATTTACCGATGTATATACGGTTAGCAATATGATTTTGAATGGATTATTAAATTAATGCACAGGGCAAGAGAAATTCTTTGAGCGTCATAATAGACTTGTGATTTAATTGGGGTTTCTTTCAGAGCACTTGAAATAATAAGTTTTAAGTTTTGCAGAAGGCTATAAACCTGGTGTTTTTTCTCTCTCTTCTTTTCTTTCTGACATCTACGAGGGGTGATCAAAAAGTTCGCAAACTAACTGAGTTACTTTCATAAAAGAAAAAAAATTAGTTCTCAGTGTTCATTATTTTTTTAAGTAGTCCTTTCCAGTTTTAATGCACATCTACCACTGTTCTGCCCATGCGCGAATCACATGATCCAGGCGGTCACGTGACATGCTCCGTAGCGTTCTGTTCACAGAAACTGAAAGATGTTTCCGAGTCTTATGTTTCCTACCATGCAAGTTATTTTTTATAACCAGAACAGCCCATTTGTCAAAAATAACCAAATCTTGGCAATAGGATGGTGGTAGCTGCAGATCTGTAGCTTGCTGGTCTGAAAAAAATTGGGATGGACGACCAGAGAGCTACAGTGCCACCCATTAAAAAAGTGTTTATTTATTGTCCACAAAAAAGTGCACTGTTTCTTGATTTATTTCTCCATATATTTAAACTGCCATCTCAAAATATTACAAACTGTGTGTTCCTAACATATTTTTTCAATACTTCCACAATAAAACGTTTCCCCAAACCGTTGTTAATAGCTCTCCTTGGCCTGAAATTGAGACAATCGAAAATTTCTTCTACCTGTACTGCCATCTTGGGTGGCAGGACAATTCGGTCTAATGCACTTCGTACATCAACTTCTACATACAGTTTTGTTGTGGAAGTAGTAAAAGAATATGTTAGGAACACAGGGTTATTAATATTTTGATATATAAGGAGAAATAAATCGAGAAACAGTGCACTTTTTTGTGCGCAATATACACTTTTTTCAATGGGTGGACTGTAGCTCTCTGGTCGTCCACCCCAATTTTTTTCAGACCAGCGAGCTACAGATCTGCAGCTAGATGGGTGGATTAATAGAATCATTCATTACTACGAGTGTGGGATAGTGAAATTCCACCAAGGGGACAAGATTCACGGTCTAGGACGAGGCTTTGCCGAGTCCTAGACCGTGAATCTTGGCCCCGAGGTGGAATTTCACTATTCCCACACGAGTATATAATGAATGATTATTTTTCTCGCATTATTTTATCCAAAATAACAGCCTGTCAATGACGTCGCCATGATAGGGCTAAAAATATATTCTTTTAATTTTCCATCTAATTAAAAATCTAAATACACCATCGGAGAGAGCGTACCTGAAAATGGTTTACACAGTGTAAACTGATAAAATGAATTTCAGTCCATGTAAATTAAATAGATAGATAAAACTGGGAATAAAAAAACTTATCTATCCGATAGCGTACACATTCATTCAAGAAGAATCCTTCTGCAATCTAAAAATAGTGCCATTTAAAAAGTGAAAATACGACAATATTTTGAATGAAAATAAGTTTATCTTAATAAGTTAAATGACAACATTTTAAGTATATGTAATATTTTTTAACATTGTTACAATTTCTTTATATAAAGATGGAATGTTTACGTTATCGTTCGCGGTGTAGTAATACACAGTGTAAGACAGAAAAATCTCACACTGCTGTCTCACACCGGACAAGTCAATCTTACACTGGTGATTATGCAAGAAAAGGATATCCTTCCCCAGAAAGAGCATGGTGACCATTACAACCCCAGACTTCTGTCTTGGGAGCGTCATTTATCCAATGTGGATAAAGTATTGGCGCCTTCTTTTTATCATATCTCATATGTTTAAAGTCTAAAGTAAACGATACTTAAGGGATTCAATAATTATATTATTGTTAAGATATTCAATAGGGGTGGGACGATACACAGATCTTGCGATACGATACATATCTTGATACATATAACACGATATGATACGTATCTCGATATTATGATAAATTATAAAACTATTTAAAAAACTTAGTATTTGTTTTCATTTTTTTCTTGACCATGTTGACAATAAATCAACAAATTATTCTACATCAAATCATATGTGATTTGAAATTAATACTTGAAGTTCATGAATTTCATTGACTTAATATTTACAAAAACAATATTGCTTGTAAGTATTGCCAGATGTCTATAAACAAGTTGTTTATAAATAGTTGTGTAGTTAATCAAGAACACTGACTAAAAATTCATTTAAAAATAATCACATTTACATTACTATAATATTAATTGCTGAATGTCTGTAACCAAGTTGAGTTTACAAAAGAAAAATTAATCCACAATTTGCTTTGTTATGAGCTGTTAGTGCCAGATGGACTAACAATTAATGATATCAATTGTTGTGGAAACAATACTTTTGGGTATCACACGCTTTAGCGGCTTTACATACGGAACTTTTCTTGTCCCGTCTTCCGAGGATGCTTAAAAGTGAAAATGTTTTACTCTACGACTTATTAGTTCTAAAGTGTGTTGTCAACATCAATATCATCTCTTCACTTCGTACAAGCCGCCATTTTTCAAGGACAACTACTTTCATTTTCAATTTTTTGATAGGTCGTTCGTGTATCGTTTTGTACCGATATTTTTATGCATGTATCGTAAACCGTATCTTAGCAGAAAATATCGGTATGTATCGGTGTATCGGTATATCGTCCCATCCCTAATATTCAACTATTTTTCTAACTGTAACTTGGCAATCTTTCTTAACAAATTGCTCAACTAGAGACTCATCTCTATCCCCGCTTGCTTTCACTGGGC